CAGTGGATCTATGCACACATACACACATTCATCTAATGTGTAGAACCATTTACTATTGATTGAGCACTCACTATATTGTGGCTTCTGTGATAGGGGCTGGGTGCAACACTGGCTTGAATGACATTTGCCCCATCTTCAACTTAGCTGTTATTGCTTATTACTTTGAGATCTGCAGATACAGGTGAGAGCTCAGCTCATGAATACATAAATCCATGAATTAAACTGGCATGAGATAGTTGTAGTGAAATTTGGATGGGCATGCATTCAGATTTAATTGAATGCCATTAATACGCTATGATAATTGCTACTGACCAGTGAGAGCTATTTTCTACAAAAATTTTATAATTTGGAAGCTGGAGAAAGAATATACTTGGTTCTGCCTGGATTTAGTTGGGGTGGAGGTCGTCAGGGTATACACAAATGAAAATATACTTGTAGTGTCATTGGTGAGAAACAGAGGCCAAAGTTCCCAGACTTCTTGTACCCAGATGTAACCACATTAAAAATGTGTCCCTAGAGCCCAATAGCTCTTGTTCCTGTAGCTTCTGAGTGAGAGACACTTTTCTTCACTGATCACATGGGCTTACCTTTCCTTTCTGAGCTGTGCATATCCTTAAATGTGTAGTGGTTTGAATGAGAAATGTCCCTCACAGGTATATGCATTTGAGTACTTAGTCCCCTGTTGGTTGTGCTGTTTGGGGAGATTTTGGAAACTTTAGGAGGCAAAGCCTTGATGGAGGACATTATTGGCTGGGTGTTTTGATGATTTATAGACTCCATCTACTTCCTGTTCTCTCTGTGTCCTGTGTGTAGATGAAGAATGTGACCAGCCAGCTTCTGCCCCTGTGGGTGTGCCATACCTACCCCACCAGTATGGACTCTCTCTGTCCCTTTTGAACCACAAGCTAAAATAAACTCTTCCTTAATTTGCTTTTAGTCGTGTTATTTTATCACAGCAACAGAAAAGTAATTAATACAGTGTATATGTTGGATTTAAATAATCTCATTTTAAAAGTCACTTTATTTCTGAATCTCAATTCATTTGTCACATTATTTTATTGCATATATAATTACTTCAGATTATAATGGCGAGTGTTAAGCTAAATTTAAAGTTCCAGACACACAATAAGTGCTTCCTAAATGGTCCTTGTTTGGAGCTCCTGTAATTATATGTTTATTTATCCCCACTGCCAAGTGTTCTTCATGTTTATATTCCCAGTGTCTAGGGTAGTTTCTCATGCAGTTGTAATCTTGCTCTTCTTGCCCCAAGGTGTTAAGGGACAGTTTGTAGTGTTGGGAGGGAATTCTGGTTATCACCGTTCAAGAGAGGTCTGCCAAACGTCCTATACTGTACTTCATCCTGCTCTGAATAATTATTCAACAGTAAATGTCATTGGTGTAAAGGTTGAGAAACACTGGTCCAGAAATAGTGGTTGTTAGTAAGAGGTGCATAAAAGATTTGAATAAATAGCTCATGGATGCACACAGGAATGAATAGATTGGTGTATGTAGGCATACACCTGGCTTCGTAATATTAAACCTGTACCACTGCACTTCATCCTGCTCTGAATAATTATTCAACAGTAAATGTCATTGGTGTAGAGGTTGAGAAACACTGGTCCAGAAATAGTGGTTGTTAGTAAGAGGTGCATAAAAGATTTGAATAAATAGCTCATGGATGCACACAGGAATGAATAGATTGGTGTATGTAGGCATACACCTGGCTTCGTAATATTAAACCTGTACAATTATGAACACATGTGTGAATATGAAGTAACACTAGGATTACATGTGAACACAGTAATTGTTTTTTTGTTTACTCTATGGCTTTGGATAGCCACAGATTTATCTGTAATCTGTATTTGGGGATCAAGATTTAATAAGTAACATCAGCTAACATTTACCAAGTGCTTACCACATGATACTTATCCCGTGGGGTGTTTGGCATTTATGACTGCCTTTAAACTTCATGATTATCCTTACTATCAGTAATTTACAAATGAGGCTCAAAGAAGCTATTTGTCCAGGGATGCTAAGTTAAGTAATGGAGGGAGGCCAAGATTTGAGTCTGTTTTAGTGGCTCCAATGCTTGTTTACCACTACATTCTTCCAGACACAGCAGATTGAAAGTGCCAGTCAAATTAGAACTATAACCCTTGTGTTATAGACTCTCAAGGATATTCATAATCGTGGCCCAGTGGGAACTTGTATTCACATAGCTACCCCATAGACAGACACCTTTGAAAAATTACACTGAAGCTCCACATTCAAGGTTCTTTATATGATGCAGAACCTTTACCCAAGGTTCTTTAATATTGAACAATGTTCATATATTTGACATCTGCTGACTTGCCCATTATTTTCTGCATAGAATATTTGGAAGTGAATCATTATCCAATAATCTGGATATATAGCGTGATATTGTTTCATAGAACCTCAATAAATCAGGGGTGATGATTAGGGAGAGGCACATTTCTTAGATCTATGGGGTTTTTTCTTTCTTATCTTTTGTCCAGCTTCTACACTCAGATGCTTGTTTTCAAAGATTGATTCCAAATCCCTTTCCCTTGTAGAGTTAACAGAGCCTCTGTAGAATTTCAATTTGGTTTACTCTGAGGGACTGCAGAGTCTGGCAAGCTTGCTGGGCCAACTTGTTTATAGGAGAGAAAAAATGAAAATTACCCAAAGACTAGAGGACAATTGTGTTGCTGTATAAAGTCTACATTTCAGCTGTAATGAGACAGATGGGAAAGTGATGGGCAAGAGAAGGCGGGATACACAGGGCTTTGCAAATGAAAATCTAGAAGCTCTTGAGGAATATTTGCTTAGAAGATTAGCTCTGAGCAGCACGGCCCCTGAATGTCTGACTTCTGATTCATGCCTGGGTTCAGTTTGCCCACCCCCTGCCCCTGCCAGTCTATCCACCCATGCATCCATGCACACAGCCTTTATCTGTTGGTTCCAGGTACCAGATGTTTGAGTCCAGCTCTGGCCATCATGAGCAGTGCGTGCTTATTTACATCCAACTGCAGGAATGCTTTCAACAGTGGTCAGATTTCTTATTGTCCCACGTGATAATGTCCACCTGAGAAAGCTGCCGTTGGAAACAACCAAGGACAGTGGGTGAAGAGTTAAAGCAATGTTTCATGCAGAGTAAGGGCTAAAATGATAAATGAAGGTGAAGTCAAGAAAGGATCTAAGGAGCAATTCCCATTAGAAGAGGCGATGAAGGGAGTTGTTCGGAGGTCGGGAGGGAGGCGGGAAGAGTGGTGGTAAGTCATGACTCCTTACCTGCAGTGCCCTTTTCCCCCTTCTCTCCTTTCCTGCCATCTCTACCATCTCTTCCAGGAAGGCCAATTCGACCATGGGGCCCAGGGGAACCATTTGCTCCAGGAGGGCCTGGGGGTCCAGGCTATTAGAAGAGGCGATGAAGGGAGTTGTTCGGAGATCGGGAGGGAGGCGGGAAGAGTGGTAGTAAGTCATCACTCCTTACCTGCAGTGCCCTTTTCCCCCTTCTCTCCTTTCCTGCCATCTCTACCATCTCTTCCAGGAAGGCCAATTCGACCATGGGGCCCAGGGGAACCATTTGCTCCAGGAGGGCCTGGGGGTCCAGGCAAGCCAGGCACGCTGCAGATATATCTCGGGGAGTAGTTCTCTCCTTTGGCCTGGTTACTCCGAGGTTGTCCGCTGGCACAAATGGCAAAACTTGTAACGTAGAGCAAGACAATCATCTTTGGCTCTAGAAGAGAAACAAGGACATCAGTATCCCCCTGTCAGGGAGGGTCCTCAGCACAAGTGATTCAGTTTGAACACCAGAATGGACATGTACATCAGCTGACTCCAGTGTTTGCTTTTCCAAGGATTCCCTTGAAAACTCTCAATACATTGTTGATACAGAATCCTCAGAGCCTAACATAGGGATTGGTAGAAAGGATTTAAAAAATTCAAGTATACCTGTTTGTTGCATTTTTCTGTAAGCATTAATGGACTTAGAAAAGCCATCTTTTCTTTTTGGAAAACTCTATAGACTCAAACAGGGAAATGACATATTCAAATGCCCAAGATAGACACTGATACTGTTGCCAGTTCTCAGAAATAATTACCCTTCACAGTTCCACGCACACACATTCTTTCAGTCTTTGTTTTGGTCTGTGTTCTAGTTTGCTTCTCTATTGCTGTGATAAAACACCATGACCCAAACCAACTTGAGACAGAAAGGGTATATTTCATCTTACACTTCCAAGGCACAGTCCATCTCTGAAGGAGGTCAGGTGGGAACTGAAGCAAAGGCCATGGAAGAGCACTGCTCACTGCCTTGATCCCCCTGGCTTGCTCAGTTAGATAGACACTGATACTGTTGCCAGTGCTCAGAAATAATTACCCTTCACAGTTCCACGCACACACATTCTTTCAGTCTTTGTTTTGGTCTGTGTTCTAGTTTGCTTCTCTTTTGCTGTGATAAAACCCCATGACCCAAACCAACTTGAGACAGAAAGGGTGTATTTCATCTTACACTTCCAAGGCACAGTCCACCTCTGAAGGAGGTCAGGTGGGAACTGAAGCAAAGGCCATGGAAGAGCACTGCTCACTGCCTTGATCCCCCTGGCTTGCTCAGTTCCTTTTCTTATAAAGCCCAAGCCTACCTGCCTAGGGATGGCACTGCTCACAGCGTACTGGGTCCTCCCACATCAATTAACAATTAAGAAAATGCTTCACAGGGGACTGGAGGGATGGCTCAGCTGTTAAGAACCCTTATTCTTCCAGAGGACCTGGGTTTGATTCTCCTCCTCCTCTAAACCCCACATGGTGGCTAAAAATTGTTCATAACTCCAGTTCCAGGGGATTTGATACCCTCTTCTGGCTCTTTGGGCATTGCATGCATGTGGTGCATTTACATACATGCAGATAACGCACTCACACACATAAAATAAAAATAATAAATGAAATAGAAAAAAACATTTCACATACATGGCCACAGGCTAATCCAGTGGGTGAAATGCCTCAGTTGAAGTTCTTTCTTCCCAGGTGACTCGGCTTTCTGTCAAGTTGACAAAACTGCGGGACAGTCTGTGTTATGGATAAAAGTGATGGTGGCCATTCCCATGACTCTTTGGTTTTTCACTTAGCATTGCATTATGAAGCTCCTATAGGATCAATTTTCTGTAACAGTAATTGTCTTTGACTCTACTCTCTAGCATATATGGAATGTTATGCTGACATAACATGGTGCTGGGCATCATCCTTATTAATACTGACATGCATTTATCATGTTCTTAGAATTCATGGATTCTTTCAAACAGGAGAAAAGGAAAAGCATTTTCCGAGAAATCATGTTTTTCACTTGCTAATCATGTGTAGTGCCAATTAGTGATAACTGCAGTACTGTGTGTATCCTGAGGGGAGTCTGAAAGTTTAATTTAAAACCTGTAGGATATAATGCCATAGTGTCCCATTATGCCATTAGCCCCGAGGGTCAATTAAAGAGCTGTGTGAACTTAAACCATGCATGGCACCATGTGTGCCGGGTGCAACAGGCACAGTTCTTTTCAACTCTACCCTAATGAGGCTTGGTTCCTCACTCCAAAAAGCCTGGATGCTGAGAATGGGGGATGATTTATTCGTATGACATTCCTGGTACATAGACTGAAGATGTGGGAGGAGGTATGGGCTGGGGAGACCTGATTTTTTTTTTAGGTCAAATAGTCCTTAGGACAAGCAGTTTCTTGGGAGAATACAAATAAGTGTTTCTGTGGATGCCTGGACCTTCTAACATATATTATAGAACATATAAAGCCTATTGAGTTCAAGTAGCATTGCCCTACACACATCGATAAAGGGCTGATCACTGGGGTATGAGCAACCTACTTAGAGGCTTGTGCCTGAAATGAACATCTCTTTCTAAAGTTGTCTGTGGCCTGAAGCTCCTTGTCCAGGGGTGGGACTTTATCCCTGATGGAATTAGTGTAGTGTTTGATCAGGATTCTACTCTCCCGAGTGGAATAATAATATAACATGGGAACATGATCAGATAGATTTTTTTGACAGCCACCTCAGGGAAGCAAATAGGTGCACTACAAGCCATACTACTTTTATGACACCCAGTGGGAAGATTGAAACATCTTGGAATTAGAACTTGGCCCTAGCTCAGGAATGAGAATCTAGGAGAAATGCAAGGTGTTTATGACATTTTGAAATAATCCTGATTCGTCTAAATCTTATTAACAAAAAGATAAAACAGCGTTATCTGGTGTTACTAGACCTTCCCGTTTAAGGAGAATACCTTTGCTTTATCTACTAGACTTCATACACTGCTACATTAGTCTGAATTTTGCTACTATAATGAACTACCTGAGGTGGTATGCTTTCAAAGAAAAGTAGTTTTATTTAGCTCACTGTTTTGGAGGCTGAAGACCTGGAGACTGAAAACGCCACGTGGCTCAGGCTGTGTCAATGTGTCCCTTGGCAGCATCATATCATGACAGATGGTATCAAGGTGGGAATGTGTGTGACAGGGAGAAATCCATGTCAAACAGGAAGTCAGAGCAATGGGGAATGGCTTATCTTGTGACTTTGCACTAGCCCAATCCTTTAAGCTCCTATCACCAACCGTAACACAGGGGACCAAGCTTCCAACACAGGAAGTTTGCTTATCCTCAAACTAGGGTAAGCACAACCTCAAATCACTGACCCTATTCTTCAAATGGGTTTAGGTACTTTCTGAAAAACTCATGTTCCTGATAAAGGTATCAGCAATTCAGGGAATATCATGGAATATGGGCCAGAATTATTAGAAGAGCCAGGGATGTGCCCAAAGGGATGTTGCACCTATGAACTCTCAATAGCTATGGTTGCTTGTGTAAGACCAATACCAGTCAGCATTCAGGGATGAGGGAAGGGCTCGCAAGGCCCCACCTCTAGTTAAGGAGCTACAGGAGTAGACAGCTGCAGAGGGAGAGTCAGTTCAGGTGGGTTGTACATCCCCCAGTGACCAGCTCTAAATCTATCTGTATAGGGCAACACTAATGGGACTCAGTTGGTTTTATATTTATAGCTAATAGAAGATGAGCACATGAGTTTGAGAAGGATGTAAAGGGGCAATAGGTAGAGCTGGAGCAGGAGGCAGGAAGGGGTGGATATGCTCAAACTGCCTTCTACTCATGTATAAGAGTCTCAAGATAATAAAAGAATTAAGAAAAGATAGGAGCCCTTCTTCAGAAGCCTCAGATAAAAAGAAAAAATGGGAAGACCATCCTATGCAGATCCTTGCCATTGCTAAAACTAGCTGCATAGGTTCAATCCCAGTTCCTCTTCCTTACCAAATATTGATTAGGGGGCTTTGGAAGGGATGTGAAGAGGGAGAACAGGCTCCAGGGGGGTACTCAGAAGGAGGCTTGGAACCACATACATACACAGAACCAAAGGCTGTAGGCTGAGAGACTTGAGATTATCAGGAACAAAGGAGACTGTACAGCCACAATGATGCTGATAGTCATTGGAACATTCTGGAAGACGAGTAAGCAGAGAGTCTGGTTAGTGGTGGATAGAGGGAGCAGATACTTTAAAGATGTGTTTAGAAGAAAGGATCCTTAACATTGCTGTAGCCAGCAACATGTGCTCAGGAGATTAAATTAAAGCAACTGAAACAGAGCCAGTTTTACCATCGAATGAATGGACTGCTTTTAATTGACAAATGCACCCTGTCTGGTACAGGAATCTAAATGCCTACATGTGGTCACAGTTAGAACTTTTTGAATGCTACTCAAAACGATTATTCATTAACAAGCCTCACCAGCAGAGAGGAGCAAAGAGTGGTAGCTGGTGCCTGGTGTGGCATGATGGTGTGTGTTCACCCAAGTCTCAGGACTCAGTCCACTTAGGAAGATGAGGCAGTATGGATTACTATGGGAAGCCACAGCAGATTCTCATCACAATGGCTCTCCGTATATAAGCATCAAAATCTTCATGTCTGCAATGTTGACAAGGTCCTCAAGGCCTTCCTTAAATTCCAAGACTTCATCTTTGATTTTCCTCTTCACTCTCAGTGCTAGTTGCAATGGATTCCTCAGTGCCTGCATTACTTTTCTGTTGCTGTGATAAAACACTGTGGCCAAGGCAACTTATCTGGTTTACAGTTCAGAGAGTTAAAGAGTTCAGAATGGGGTTGCGGGGTGGCATGGAGGCAAAGGTGGCAGGCGCAGAAGACCAAATGATCACATCTTCAAGCAGGCACAGGACACAGAGAGAGGCAGACTGTTAGTGGGCCTGGCTACATAGTCTGAAAGCCCACCGCAACTGACATGCTTCCCCCAGTAAGGCCACACCTCCTAAAACCTCCCCAAACAATGCCACCAACTGGGGACAAAAACATTGAAATACCTGGAGCCTATGAGAGATGTTCTCATTCAAACCACCACAGTGTCCCTCAAAGATACCAGGTGTAACCTGCCTTAGGATCCTCAGTCTCTTGCTTCTGTGTAAAACCCCTGCACCAAGGTGTCTGTGGGTTTATTTTCTTATACCCTTCCTGAGGTCTTTGCTCATATATCATTTTGGCATCGAGTCCAGCTCTAATGTAATATTGCAAAGTGCTTTCTTTCATTCCTGTCCCTTCCCTTCCTGTTCTGCTTTTTTCTGTTCTCCATTGTATTTATCAATTCCAACTCATTAGGTTATTCCTATCTTTATTTGTGTTTCTGTCAAATTGAACCCAAGTTCCCATGAGGGCAAGGATTGCTGTCT